TTCCTAAGGGAAGTGACAGCTGCTTTCTCTTCTCAGCAAGTGCACATTGAGCCAATCAAAAAAATGCCCATTTTTTTTGTGACTTTCAATCCAACCAGAATCAAGCTGATTTCCATTTCCCAGTGAAAAGGCAGGGTTTCTGTCTGAACCTATTGAAGCTTCTTCAAAATCCCAGGTTATTCATGCAATGCCTCTTGTGACACTCCGGTTTGTGTAAGATACGTTAAGCCACCTTGGTATGTGTCAAACATCTTGGGATGTACGTTGAACTGTTCCTTCTTGGGAGCAACATAAGGCATTGCAGTACAAAACATCTGCATGCTCTCTGCACTCCCAGCTAGTTTATTTCCTGGATACATGAATAATGGTTATATGAAGCTAAACCAAACATCCATTGGTTTAGTGGCCAGCTGAGCATCTCTGCTTTTTCTGTCCTGGGAAGTAGCAAATAAATATTCCATTTTCATCTCTCTATATCACTACTGATGCTGTGGTCTTCTCTTGCAGTCTCCCTTGATTGTCTATTTTCCCACAATCAAAAGCAGAATTCTGTCAGCCACACCTAGCAGACAAGTCTTCTAATGGGTCAGCTATTTCAATGGATCATTCCTGTTGTACATTTATCTTATTTCTTTCAGTTCTGTTATGCCCTTTGGGGAATATGCTGGCTAGAATTACATGTAATCTCCAAAATGCATCTTGGATTTGTACAGTGCCTAATCATAATTATTCTTTTAGTTTCAGCTCCCTTTCCCTGACTCAATTCCTACCATTTGCCTTGCCTTTTTGTTCACAGGTGAACAGTGACATTTCCAAAGTGATATCCACAGTGAAGTCTTAAATTGCATTAGTACAGTTTTGAAGTAACCCCATGATGGTCCCTTGTGGCTTCATGCTGGTTTGGTTTGCAGAGGGGTTTTTGAGTGTGCAAACTAGATTCCTTAGCAGGAAAGAGGACCAGTATTTTTGCTTTGAATGTACTCTGAAGGTAGTCTGAAGGCACTCCAATACCTACTGTGGCATGAATCAACGTGTGGGCTATACCACCTTGAGGTCCTATAGTGTATACATAACATTTCTTTTGGAAACCTAGGGGGTTTGGACTGTAGGATCAGCCACCTGAGGAGAGCCTGAAGGACCTGTCTTTGTTCAGCTTGAGCATGGTTAAAGGTAATGTTCACAACTACCTAATCCACACTCTTCTCAGAGGTACACAGTGGAAGGATGAGGTAACAGAGGCAAATCACAATGAGAGAAATTCCAAGTAGGTATGAGGAAAAAAAGCCCTCTCACAATGAGGGTTGTCAGAAACTGGAATAGGAACCTGAAGAATTTATGGAGTCTTGATCCTCATAGAGATATTCAAACTCTAAGCAGCCTGGCATATCATTGAAACTGGCTCTGTCTGAAGGGATGGATGGACTGGGTGGTCTCCAAACAGCCATTCCAACTCAGATTGTTTTGTGGTTTATTTAATAGCAAAACCCAAGTCAAAATGAATCAATAAATGGATTCAATGAAAATTTGAGGAGCCTCAGCACAATCTCTAACGTCTAGTGATCCTTTCCTACTTACTGATCTTCCATTGCACCAAGTTACTTGCTGACATACACCGTAACTATCCAATGTCACTAACACTAAATACTTTTTCAAATCATGTTTTACTTTATAAGTCACTCCAGTCAAAAAACATTGTTCATGAATACTTTAATACAACACCTGAAGTACATCATAATAGGTTATGATATGTTTGCTATTTTGAATGACTAATTGACCAAGATCTCTGCAAATGACACCACATCTTACAGATCATTTACTATCAAAACTAAACTGAAATACTTAAATTCCTTTCTGGTTCCTCAGTTTAATTACTAGTGATATGATTGTTTCAACGTTTTGACATTAATTTCTTAACTATACAGAAGTGTTCATGTGTGCATACATGCACAGACACACATAGCTATAGATGCATGTGAAAACACGCCTACAAATGATTTCTCTCAAATGCATACCCTGGTAATTGGGATAACTTTTTATTTTCTGTGTATTTTTATCAGTGAACTGTTTTTTTTTTTCAGTAGGAAAAAAGTGATGCTTAAATATCTGGTGTCTTCATGAGGTTCTGGCCATAAAGCAGAAAGCTGAGGGAATAAAATTGCAAAAGCTGCAGTTACTTCACAGCTTGCCAAGTTTGTGGTTAGTTCGCCTACCAACTGCTACTGTTACTCAACCCGATTCCTCCAGGAAACAAAGATGCATCGTTAACTTTTACCCTGTGCAGGGCTCTGTGTAAGTAATGTCAAGGACATGGCTTTAACGCTGGGCATTCTTGACACCATTAATTATACACACTAACTCCAATTGTTACCATCAAAGTACCTCTGCCTGAAAATGGGGAAGGGAGAAGCAAAGGAGGGATGGAGCACCTTTGACTGTCTAGAGCTCACTGTGGTAAAGGCAGGCCTTATAGAGGTTTTGGTTTGTGGCTTTCAGGGTAGATAACATCTCCATCCTCACCTACAGCTCCTGCTTTTATGAGCAGGGGACAGTCAGTGAGTTTTGAACATCAAGAGGGATATAGCAGTGTTTTGCCCTTCACAATCTGTGTTTCTGTAGCGTTTTTGCTGGTAGACCTGACTTACACCAGGATCACAGTAGCACCAGCTACACATTCCTTCACCTAGGGTACATGGGTAGAGCAGTGCATACGATCCAGTCCAGCTAACCTGGGCAGCACCTCTCAATCATTTGGATCTTGACATTAGGTAAGTAATCCTCTCTGCACACACCACATCTACTTTCTTTGCTATCTTCAGTGCAGAGGGAAAGGGAGTTTTCATGGAGAGTTTCCTTTTGCTTAAATAACATATTTCTTTTCTTTTCTTGTTTCAACAAAGTCCAGAAGTGACCCAGCAACATTTCTCTCTACCTGCATGGCAAGTCTTCATTCCAACTTTTTCTAGCTGGACTTCACCAATGATGTCACACTCCCCCACACATTTCAGGTCCAGATCACACAGCTCTCTTTGGAGAAGGAGAAGCAGTATGATGGGACCAGAATTTTATGTAATGATGTAGTGCATAGAGCCCTGGCACGAGAACTGACAGGTGGATCCTGAACTGCTGCTCTGTCTGATGCTGTTGGATGAACTATAAGGGAGGCATCTTCACAAGGAGGCTGCAGAGTGTGGGAAGGAGAAATGGCTTTCACCTTTTTCAGATCAAGATAAAGGGTTACTCTGCCAAGATCACTTCACAGAAAGGAAGGAGGATCTTACCTCTGTCTTATGAGTCTGTATCTAGCATAGCAGATGAGGCAATGAGGAGGAAAAGGGGGAATCTCAAACTCTGCTGCTAATAGTTTACTGATGAAAAAAAAAAACAAAAACCCAACAAAAAAAGCAGGAAATCTTAGGGAAGCCTTTCAGCAGTGTCTCCCCTATTTAAAATGCTACTGCACAGAATGCCTGTCTGCTGTTCCATCCCTCACCTCCAAAGGACAGTTTGTTCATGCCAACAAAGGCTCCAGGCATCTGGAAGTCATTGTATGAAGACATAGCTAGAATATGGAGAACAACGATAAGCTGATCCCAAGCAGTTTACCAAAGAGCAGATGTTCAAGTGTGCTTTGAAGAGGAGCTTGGCTGAACAACAGTGATGGTTTGTGGCCTAGCCAGCCACAGGCTGCTCCTCAGTTATACTGTAGCATCATCCCTTACCCTCCTTTATGTGCACTAAACCAAATTCTATCTGTAAGACATAATCGATGCACAGGAGATCAAGGTGTTTTGATGGCACTGTGGAGTGTATAGTACAGAAACTCAGAATCCTCTAGGTCAGCTGCCAAAGCTGTTAGCTGCAGTTCCACTGCTAAAGAGTACATCCACCAAAAGGAGGATAACCAGTATTTCAATGCTATTCTATAGTTGTAAATGAATTTGCAAGGCATGTACTGTTAGAATTAACAGATAAAGTTCTGAACCAAGGATAGATCATCTGAATCAATAACAAACGGATACAAAGTCATAAACTTCAAACAGTGCACAAAAAAACTTCAATCCAGCCCAAAATTAATGATTAAATTGTTACCTTGAGTAACCAGGGAGAAATGATGAAATTAACATCTGTATAAAAAAATCTGCCCTCTGCCTTGGTTTTGACTTGACAGCTAAATTGAAGGTGTCAGGGCACCAGCGCAGAGTCCAGCCTCTTGGTGTAAGGACCACACTGTGACTGGCAGACACGCAGTGTGCTCAAAGCTCCTTGGTACAGGCCATGTAGCCTAAAGTTTCTAGAAACCAAAGAATCTCTATAAACCGAATCACATTTTCTGGAGACAAATGCCAAATGGCAGGAGTAATCTCACCAAATTGTAGATGTCCTAAAGGTAAATACCAAAGGCCAAGCTGTTTTCATTGCTCTTCCTTTATAGTAAATGGAAAGGAATTGTTCTAATTTTTTATATGAGGTACACCGATTTTGGGAACTTTATGTGGACCCTCACAGTCCTTTCCTGCAACAGCAAGAAAGATGTTTTCTTTCTAACTTTCTTTATCCCCATCCTGCCAAGATGCCTGGTCTCTCTTGCTCTGGGACCTTCCCACTCTCCTGTGCTACCCCATCTCCTCTGGATGTACCTCTCCATGTGGCATAAAGCCTGCCTTTGCAACACAGTCGGTGATGCACGGATAAATGTTGCTGCTGTTCTGTAGATGTAAAGCTGAATTTCTGCTCTCTGGTTCCCTGAGCAGCACATTAGCCCTCGTATTTCAAGGGCTTTGGAAGCATACGGCAAGCACTCTTGCGTCTCCTCTGCGAGGCTGGTGGTCCCTGGGCTGGAGAAATGCATCCCAGCCACACTGCCCAGAGGGAACAGGGACAGCTCGCTCTGCACAAAGGACCAGCAGCAGCTGTGATTTCCAGGCAGGTTTTGGCCAAGTCAGATATGGGCAGGTTTCCATGGGGCTGGCCAAGGCCACTGAATGGACAGCAGGCCTGTTCCCTGGCTGGATTTCATGCAAATTGTGGACCTATGTGAGGACAAGCGTTGGGCAATTTTACCAAAGGTCTGTCATCCCTTCCTGTCATTTACACAGAGGACACTGGAGGAAGGGGATGGCAAGGAGAAAGTGAAGGATCCTTACGGATTCTCAAGTTGCCTGAGGACATCCCATCGTCAGAGGTAACCTGTGGCATGATGGAGGCAATACATAGACACACAGGGTTTAATCCAGTTGCCTCCACACCAGCATCTGGAACAATTTGCAGTGTTCTGGACTGTTTGAGATGCCCAGCTGGGGCTGATAGACAAGGGCCAGGAGAGAGGAAACCAAGCCTTGTTGGAACAGCCAGCATGTGGGAAACAGGGATGTGTGGTGGGGCACAGGAACACCTTAGGCAGCACTTGTCTGTGTATGAGCAAAGGAACTGAGAGCTGGATATTCAGATGACAGGAGTCTGTGTCATGCTAGGTGACAAAAAGCCAGCTGGCAGTTAGAAAAGTCCTTCCACATGTTCATGTTAACATTTTATATATAAATGTTATACATATGTAAATGTTAGTGTGGATTTGCTAGGGGGACTGTAGAGAAATGGGAGAGTAAGAAATGCCATCATCATAGAATACGTGCAACTTCAAATTACTTACATTAATATCCTGACTATTCCTGGGTAAATTTCAGACTACAATATCCAAATTGTTATCTTCCATTATTATGTACTTCAGCTAAGATAAGATATAAAGCAGCTCAGAAAATTGAGTCTTTATTTCTCTTAGAATATTTATACGTTGTGAATATCTACATCCATATACACAGGCATACAAATAGATATATGCATATATATCTGTGCATGCATATATTCTCTGTATAAAAGAAGAACATGATTTTTAGGGCTCCACTCAGTATCCTCTGCAGTACAGCAGAGAAAAGAAACTAAGACATTCAGCTGTCATAATGCTTTCAGTATACAATATTAATTGATATAAAATATTCATTCTTTTATTACACAAGTTTAACTGCCAAGAAAAAGGTTAGAGAAATGTGTCACTTCTGTAAGCTTGAGTGGCCAATATACTAGTTAGAGTTAATAACAATGTGGTGTAATTAAAATAACAGATAATTTAATTACCATGTTGAAGAAATGTAACATTTACCATCAAGTATAAAACAGACATAATTAATGAGTTGAAGATCTTATCGTGGTCCTGATTCATATTTGATCATTGATCTAATTTGCACCACTTTGGGCAGGAAGCACAGGCACAAAGTGGGAAACAGGAGGAAAAGAGTCTTTTATTCTATTTTGAGCTCCTTTTCAGGAGGTGACAGATTGTCAGACCCCAAAAGCTCAGGTCAGAGCTCTGTGCCTCTAGGAACACGTTTATGGATTTAGCACTCACAGAGTTTATTTCTGCTTCTTTGCATTTCATAATTTGATTAAGTAATTATTTTTTTAAGAAAACAAAACAAAAACCCGAACAATAGTGACAAAGGCTATAAAGCACATATACATGTTCCATCAATTAAATTATACAGGAATGGGTTTTAAAATAGCTATCTGTTTCTGGGCAGTTAAAGCACGTATTTGTAGTTTTCCTAACATATCACTCGGGCTTAAGTAAACAGGATTTTGGGCACCTGTGACACAGAGACTGATGGTTTCTAAAAGAAGAATATATGTCCCACTTCCCCAGACGCTCATGGTTGGCTGTCTCCAGCTGCTGAGGCAATGTAAATCCCACATTCCTCCTCCCTGGACCTACCTCTATTACCTGTTAGGTTCAATATCATTTTCAGAGCAAAGACTTGCTTCTTGTCCATTGCATGAGTCTACAGCAGGTTTCAAAACACTAAGGGCTTTAAAGCTGGCCTGTCAGAAAACATAATCCATAATAATTCACAGAATCAGCTCTCAGAATGAGAAGAAATCTGTATAATTAAGAAGAAAATCTTACTTAGAAATAGAACCTTGTTGTCGGAATAATTTCAGTAGCCTTGACTGAAGAAGGCTGTTGGAGAGCAATTTCACTATTAGCTCTTCATTACCTTCATCTGAGAGGCAGATGAGCTGGGCAGCAGATGCTCTTTGGTTGGCTCTTCGGAGAAACTAATTAATTAAATTAGTTAATTAAAGTAATTAAATTGTGCAAAACCTGAGATTCCTTAATGTAGCCTTGGTAAGTGTCTCCAGGCTTCAGAGAGGACCTTTCTGCTGTCAACACCAAGCACTGGCCATGGGACAGCCCTGTGGAACAGGTTCTCCCTGGATCCAAACCAGGAGCTCTCAGTACATGTCCTAGGCTGCTTTTTCCACAGCCCTGATGGATCAATATGTTGTACACAAACTGAGGTGGTGCAAGGTGCTTTACGGAAGAGCAAACTCATGCACCAGAGAAAGGGGAGGGAGTTCATGAGTGGTCAGCATTCCTCAGCGGCTGCTGGGAATTCACATTTCAGCTGCTGGGAATTGATGTGGGAAGCCTGAGCCCTTGGCCTGCTGGTTGTGGCAGCTGTGTCATCAACAGGAGTATATGAAGACAGCTGTTTTAGGGCAAGAATCACTCTGTGAAGCTATCCCTTAAAAGGAACCAGGTAAGACAGACTGATCACTGTGCTCCCTTTCCTGAAGTCCTCTAGGTGCGCTGAAGGTGTAGTTTCCCCATCAGTTTCAACTGATAAGGAGAAAAATACATCTCTTCTTGCTAATACTCTTCAATCCTCTAAAGAGGAATTGATCATTCCAAGATGTATGATTTTGCAGCTTATTTAAATCTTAATAACTGAAATGTATAATGTATGATATTTCAGTAATGCTGATTATTATAGTCAATAATGGTGATTCTGAATGATTATAGTAGTCTTCATTGTTTTCAGAAGTTAATTGGAAACTGCAGCAAGAAATGGTGGTGGAAAAATACTTTGAGGCTTTCATACCTACGCATTATAGAGGTGTTACGGAGAGAAGAGATAGATAACTCCTTAGCTTTTTCTGTAAAGACATTTTTAAGGACTTACTAATGGCTTGCAAGCTACAAAATTTACTATTGTTTGAATAATGAAAATTTCTGAGCGTTTATGACCCAGAGAAATTGGAATGGCTTAAGTCATTGTCTACAGATATCTGAAACAAAATATGCTATAATTAAATAAAATAGACAACTTAGTTACTAAAAGACGGAAGCAATGCACTATTCTATCTATTGAAGTTAACTCCATCCCAGCCAGGTATAGTAATGTTGCTCATATAAAAGTGGGGAAAATGCTAAATGGAAGTTCTGATGATTTTGTGCATGTAGCAGGGTTGCTTATAAGTTGTAAAAGGTATCTAAGAAAAACTCACTTATAAGACTTGGATAAAGTTTTGAGGAAATTAGTTAAATTTCTTACTTTTTGAAGAAGTTATAACAGGGTGTATGCGATTCAAATATAAGAGTCTTTGCTGGAGGTGGTGTAGGTCATCTCTAAAGTCAATGGAAACAAATTATTAATCTAATTCTTTTAAATTTTATAGACATAAATATATTTTCTTGTTCTTATGCAATGTGCTTTCATATATATCTTTTCTCAAAAAGTAATTTTTCAATAGATTTATTCTAGAACATTTACTCTTGCACAAATCACATTTTTTTATTATCAAATAGCAGCTTATATGTAATAAATAGTGTTTGTACTGGGTAATGACAAGTGCAGGTTAAATGCATGACCTCCTTCTGGTTTTCTGTTCTCTTTTTCAGTAGCTGTTGTATTTGGTGGCACTGAATTCAGACATGAAGATCCTTTACCTTTTCTTTGCTATTTTCCTCTTAATGCTCCAAGGCACTTTAGGTAAGAGTTGCATAAGACCAAAGGAAATGGAGGAGGAAGCACACATGAAGTATAGAGTACCTAAAATAGAAATAAAATGTGTTTTAGTCCCTTTTGCCCAAGGCCAACAGGTGCTGGTCCATACTTTAGCAAGGGACAGACGCCACTTGGGTCCATTGGATCCCCTGAGCCCTCCTGCTTTGTAAAATAAGGAAATTTAATGATACAGATGTGGCAAGCCTGCAAGTAGACTAAAATATTGCTGTCATAACTTGTTTTTAGTCTTCTTTGGGAAGGAAAATCAAGACTCTGTTCTGGGGTTTTTGTGCAGGTTTCATGCGAGCACCTAATAATGATGTGCAATGCAAGCAGGCTGGGGGTACCTGTTCCACCGACCTCTGTCCCCTACCCAACATGAGGCCTTTTGGACGTTGCCAGCAAGGGGTCCCTTGCTGTAGGGCTGTGGTGAGTTATGGATTTGGTGAATATCAGGTATTTCTTGGGAGAATGGGTTTATTACTCCCTTTCACACATTCGGACTGCCCTTTAGACGCAAAACTCTTCTAGTGCAAGCCAACAAGGCAGCAGAGACCCTGTACACTCAGATATAGGATTTCCTCAGGATTTCCTCACTAGTTGCCTCTGTACCATAAATAATGTACTCAAGTACCTCATGGGAAAGATCACAGTCAAATCTCTTTAGCAGAGAGGTAATTATCTAGAAATAAACTCCTTTTTTCTGCTGTTCTCATTAGCTGGTTCAAACTACTCATGATGAATGATACTGGCTTTAAAGGACATGTCTCTAAATGTGCAGACCTGGGATGTTTAGGCCAGGTTCACCTGCATGTTCCACACTGTAAAGTCTGCCAGGTCTCACAGTCAGAAGAGCAAGCTATCATGCTGTTCTGCTGGATGTTTTCTCCTGTTCTGTAATTTTACCCTCTCTATACAAAACCAAAACATTAAATTGTATATTTTTTTTTTCTTGAATTCCCTACTGGAATTCTAAATTTCAGACTGTATCTTTACTCCAGTATGAAACTGCAGAAACAAACATCCATGAAAATTTACACTCTCTCTCCACTGATTCTAATATTTCATTTTCTGTATCTTTTGGCTATAACATGGAGTCTCTTATTTAACTTCATTCAATATGAATAGCAAAGTTGTTAAAGACAAAGTGTGTTCAATATGAATAGCAGAGTTGTTAAAAACAAAGACCAGAAGAAATTCCCCAGAAGAATTTCCCCTCCATAAAGGGGGAAGAACCAGAAGAAATTCCCAGAAGAAATTCCCCTCCATACAAGAGATTTTGAGATGAGTAGGAAGCTTCAAGTACAGACACTGGGAAACTCATTATTAATTTAAATAGTAAGGTATTTTATGATCAAAATGCAGCAGCAGGAGTGTGAGTATCCTAGTAAGCACTACCATGTTATCCAGTACTATCAGCTCTTGGTGCTCATTCAATTCCTCTGCTTTTTATTCAAACCTTGTTCTGGTTATAAGTACAAAACCTGAAAGTTTCTTTCCTCTTTTGCAGTATGATTAGCGACTGTTGGCATCTCAGATGGGCCAAGCAGAGTTTCTGGCAGCTTGGGATGCATCATCCCATCAGGAAACCTGGAATTTTAAGCTGAAAATGTGCATTTAGCACACACATGCACACACCAAAAGATAAGCAACAGCAGAAAGAAAACAAACTGCTCCACAAACAGACATGAAGAAATCAAAGCAATTCTTGAACCACCCAGGAGAAAAAAAACAACAATATTTCTTATTTGTCTAAAATGTTTTTCTCTTGAAACTGTATTTTGGCCACCAACACCTACCCCTGAGGGCAGATCACCAACATGCAGAAGTCTGTTCTCATGAAGGGATGCACAGTAGGGTCTTCCTTTGGCCCTCAGAACAGATACTTATTATTTCCTTTTAAAGTTAGCAATAATGCAAATAACGCTAGAAGACAAAGTCTGCAGGAGACATTGAACACTCAGCTGCAATGTTAGTATGTCATGGTCTGTATATCTCAATAAACCTTAGTAAACTTGCTTCAGAAGACTTTTGTTTGATCCTTATACCTGTGAGGATTTGTCTTGGTGTGTGTCATTGCTGGAGGATCTGCCTCTCATCTCACCCGGGTCAGTGTGAGATGTCCCTTGTGATAAACTTATCCAAGCAAAGGAGAAGAAACCAAACCCATGTATGTGCAGGAATATGGCCTGGTCATATTCACTATCTGGTTGACCAGTAACAGTTAAGAATAACTTCTCCAAACCTGCTGTGGTTAGGCTAGTAGAAAGCTGGGACAAGCTGAGCATGTTCAGTGCCTGTTGCAGTTTGCGGTATGGAGAGTGTGGGTACTTTGAGTCATTCCTTGTCTCAGATCCATTTGGCTTTTGCATTAGCACTTTGGGATGGGGAAAGGAAGCAGGGGATGTGCCTGTCTGTACCTTGTAACAGGAGGCACCAAGACTCCAGGGAGCTGGACACAATCCACTGCCTCCGAACAGCATGGTGGAGTGATAAATAGCGTTTAGTTTAGTAACCAAATAACTTAGTAATAGTTTAGGACCCAGAGAAGTAAAAGTCCGTTAGCATGGTGCTGGCCTGGACTAAATAGAGGCAGCATGAGAAGAACATTGTGAATGTGGGGAGGTGATTCCAAGACCTAAAGGAGTTGGTCTTCTGCCACCCCGCGGTTTGTCTGTGTTGCCATTCCCAGCGCTTCATTATTGAGAGCATCACAAGTAGTGTGACCAGCAGGTCGAGGGAGGGGATTCATCTCTGCTTTGATGAGGCCCCCACACCCCCCCCGCAGTCCCGCATCCAGCATCGGGGCCCCAGCATAAGTAGAATGTGGAGCTGTTGGAGGGAGTCCAGCAGAGGTCATGAAGATGATCGAAGGGCTGGAGCACCTCTGCTCTGGAGACAGGCTGAGAGAGCTGGGCTTGTTCAGCCTGGAGAAGGGAAGGCTCCAGGGAGACCTTAGAGCAGCTTCCAGTGCCTAAAGGGGATGACAAGAAGACTGGAGAGGGGGTTTTGACAAGGGCCTGTAGGGACAGGACAAGGGGGAATGGCTTTAACCTGACAGAGGGGAGATTTAGATGAGCTCTTAGGCAGAAGTTCTTCCCTGTGAGACTGGTGAGGCCCTGGCACAGGGTGCCCATAGAAGCTGTGGCTGCCCCATCCCTGGCAGTGTTCAAGGCCAGGTTGGACACAGGGGCTTGGAGCAACCTGGTCTAGTGGAAGGTGTCCCTGCCTGTGGCAGGGGGTTGGAACTGGATGATCTCTGAGATCCCTTCCAGCCTTAAACATTCTGTGACTCCATGATTCAGGTTGGGCTGGCAGATGCAGCCCTGGAGAGGAGCAGAGGACTGAGTCTGCTTCCCAACCCCCAGCCTGGTGCCCTCGGATGGGATGACAGAGGAAATGCGCTCTAGTGCTTTTTGATTTATTAATATATATGTTCTCGCACAAAACACTGCAACACAGACACTCTGCAGGATGATTTAACAGGGCTTAGTGACACACACACTTAAATTAACTCCATTTAGTTAAATAAATTCCATTTACAGGTTGATTTTTATAGACAACAAAAACAGCAAAAGCTATCCTGGCATACATGAGCAAATACCAGAAATGTGGTTTCACAGTGATTTTGCTTTTATTAGAACTCAAGTTGCAAATCTCTTTATCGGGGTACAAAACCTCCTCACACCTTCTTTAGCTCATAAGGGTCTTCTTCTTTGTGCAAAAGGCTCCCCAGGATTGCACTGAGACTGGGATCCACTGGTATCAAAGGAAGAGAGACGTCTTGGATGCCCAGATGTCTATGTGGTCAATGAGGTGTCATCTCTATGAACTGGGTGTCCTGCAAAGAAACCCAATTAGATTAAACAGAAATGCAAATAACTAAACCAAAACAGAAGTATGAAATGGCACCAACTCCAGAGCTGGACCATGGCATATTACAGCATCACTCTGCATGGTATATCTCCTATAAATGCAGATGCTTTCTTGCTTGTACCGATGAAAATATGACAGAGGGTTTCCACCTATAGGGTGGAAATGTCTTATGGCATTTCGCACCAAGTAATGCCGATGGAGAACTGCATGGCTGCTGTGAGTCCTCATTTGCTTAATGGTTATCCTGTGCTGTTAAGCTTCATTTCTGTAGTGTGAAGCTCCATGCTGCTGCTTGTGTGAGTTGAAGGGGACTCCTCAGTGCTGTCTCAAGTCAGTTGTGTACACCCTGAATAGTAGAGGCAGAGCTGCTACCAGAGCATTGGTGCCAGACTCATGGTAGAAGAAGTTATTAGTGATATGTTCTTATCAATATTAGATGCTACTAGTGATGAGGAGATTCAAAGGCCATAGGCCTGCTTTATTTTCTGCCTTTTTGTTACCAGGCACAAACCCCAGCACTTTATGAGGTTTATTTGGAGAGTGTAGGTGGCTGAAGAAGGTGGCCTCTTTCATGCCAAAGGGTAAAAGCCCAGTAAGCCTGTCTGCTCCTGGTTCAGCAGCATTTCTCTGGAGGAATTAGTCTTACCATTTGCAGCATTTCAGCTTCCCACTGCGGCAGGTCCCAATGTTAACCATAGGAGGAGAGCATTCAACAAACGAGCAGGAGCCCCGGTTTTGCCGGCATGCTACAGTGTCAGCATCTACCTGGCTGTAAGCTGCCAAAAGAACCCCAAGGGAAAATTCATGTTCATTTGTCAAGGTAGAGGACTGAAGAGTTGCAGCGTCAGATTTACCTGGCATGGTATGTGGTTTCCTGCCGCAGTGCCTGATTTGTTATTGGGGTAACCTAATCACTCCTTCTTAAGGTCTTTACATCCACATGAAATGCAAACTAACCAGAAGAGCAAGCTGTAATGCTAGAATCTCTCCATTAAGAGGGAAAGTCCATTGAAATTCTCAATCAAAAGAGACAGTTTGCCTGATTAATACTGACCCAAAGATTACTGTCTGCTCTCATTAGCATCCCTCCTGGACACATGTGCTTGTTATCCCAGTTACACACAGAAATGCTAGGTTATATGAAAAACCCACAGGAAGCACAGAAAAATGCATGTTTAACATGAATCTCACATTACCTTCAGAAACAGAAGTGATGATATTCAAATGCAAATGTCCTAAACTGAGTTTCTGCAAACTTTCAGTTCAAGTTTCAACAAATGTAAAGCATATTTATGACTCATAATCTTTATCTCCTACTTTGAATATCTTCCTCAGAGGAAGAAATGAGCGTTGTGAGTGGCATGCTCAGAGGAGACCTGTGCAATGTATTACCATGTAAAATGTGGCATGGCTAACACAGATGGCATAAAACTTCAGAAAAGATAAATCTTAATCACAGCTGAAACAATGGGACTAACATTTGCTCAACTAAAATATTTAAATACACTTAAAAACGCACCATTAAATAACGTCTGTGGCTGTTGTTACTAGATTTAGCGAGATGCTATGCTGTTTTTATCATGCTGGTGTGTTCTCACTGAAGGGCCAAATGCTCAGATGGTGGTAAAAGCTGCAGCTCCATCCTCATCAGGGGATCTGCCCAAGTTTACTCCAGCTGAGAAGCTGGCCCCAAATTCGGGTTCGAGTATTTCCAGACTAAACATTACTTGTTCTCACTGGATGTCCAGCTTGAGATTCAAATTGTGTTATTTTTGTATAATTTAAATGAAATTCTCATATCAGTTGGAGCTGTGTACATCTGTTCACTGAAAAGGCAGAAGAAGCCTTTATCATCTGCCCCAACTTCTTGCTAAGCACAAACCTGATAATCTCACCCAGTACTTTCTGTGCCTAGAAAAATCCATACCTGTCAACAAACTGGACTCTATCCTTCATTCGAAAGGCATGTGAACTTTATTCTAAATTAGACTTACCACATTTCAACCAATTTGACCTAGTGGTTTTCAAGCCTTTTCTCTTAATCACGCACTATTCAAGGATTATGTGTTGTTGATTTCACTGAGCTGATTTTAAAGACATCATTAGACCTTGGTTTCCCTTGTCTCAAATTAAAAATCCCTGTATTGCTGTGGGTGTTTTCTGTGTGTAAATCTTCATGAAGAGATATAAAACAACTTGTGGCCCTTTTCCAGAGACTACTGGAGTTGCACCTGCTTTGCAGCCATCTTAGAGGTGACAGACTGTTTTGAAATAGAAAATACTTTTTGTGACGCATACAATAGGAAAAATCCAAGAAAGCAATCAAGAAGCACATATTACAGGCTTTGTCCAAAGCACCTACAACTGTTTTTGGCCTCAGTGGTTCTACATTTCTTCTTTGAGTAGACAGACATGTACTGGTCCTGGAAAGTAGATACAAATTTGTGTCTACTGCAAACCAAAGCAAGGATGGAGATAGCTTAACCTGCTCTGAACTCTCCCAAACATCCCAGAATGATGCATATGCTCTAAACCCAGTTAATGCACATGAACAGTACAGAGGTCAGGCAAAGACCCACAGTCACAGCTACACTTTTCCAAAACTATAGGATGTCTACTTATCTAGAATACACAGTCAGGAAGCGCAAGTGCGAATGTGAGAAGAGAAAGCTCTCAAATTGCAGGGTTGCGTCTTAAGTATCAGCCTAAGAATTGCCTCAGTGGAATCATCATAGCGTAGTAGAACTGTTTATGTTGGAAAAGACCTTTATGATCATCAAGTCCAACCATTAACCTAACACTGCCAAGCCCACTACTAAAACCATGTGCCTAAGTGCCACATCTATACGTCTGTTAAATACTGCCAGGGATGGTGAATCCACCACTTCCCTGGGCAGCCTGTTCCAATGCTTGCAAACCGTTTCAGTGAAGAAAGTGTTCCTAACATCCAATCCAAACCTCCCCTGGCACAACTTGAGGCTGTTTCCTCTTGTCCTGTTGCTTGTTACTTGTGAAAAGAGACCAATCCCCCCCACACTACAACTTCCTTTCAGCTATTTATAGAGATAAGCAGCTCCCCCCCCACACCCCAATCCTTCTCTTCTGCAGACTAAAGAACCCCCATTCCTTCAGTCACTCTTCAC